TGTCGAGGGTATGAGAATCACTGTTGTTATGTTTAGAGCGTTGTTGTCATGTTTGATAGGGAAAAGATGTTAGTTCGAGATTTTATGTGCAGCCGTATCGTTTGTGTGAGAGTGTTGTGACGTAATTGTGTAATGGGAAGTGACGCGTTAGTTTTCGTTGTGGTTAGAGAAGAGTGATGGCGGATGTGCTACATTGACTGTTATGAATTGAATACTGCTAAGTGTTGTGCTGAGAGAATTGATGGGGAATATATTGGCAGAAGTGTTTGGATTGGTAAATTGATTAATATTTGGTTGGAGTGATTTATTATCAAATGCTGAAACTATACATCAAGTCTTGTTCATCGAGTGGTGATAAATAAACTTTCGTTTACAACAAACCGGTTGCTGTTTGTTGCATTGGTGACTGTTTGTGTATGATGTACTGCTGAACGGAATGCAGTGAAAGACTGTGGCCATAGAGAAGAATCGCTTCGCGACAGCATCTACACATTTTAAACCGTATTTCAACGCGTTGAAATTGCTGCATGAAAATGAAGCCAGTGAGTTACCAATGGAAGACACAATCCTTCGTTGTCATCACAAGCCTAAACCACCAAAATATTTGCTCCCATCAAGCGGATTTACCGGGATACCCTACTATAATTTATCAGCTTTGATGCGGACAGAAGAAAAAGTATCAGTTCCCATCCTGACCACTGTGAAATGGCCGCCAACTGAGGAAATGTGTCTGAATGAACTTCAGAGAGAAGCCGTCATGTTGGCATTGACTAAAGAGGTTTCTGTCATACAAGGACCTCCAGGAACAGGAAAGAGCCATGTCGGAAGGAAGATCTTAGAGGTCCTTTTAAACAACGAACCTTTCAGTAGCCATGACAAAACAGGCCAAGAAAATGAACCGTGCTCAAAAGGACCTATTCTAATTGTGTGTAAGACTCTGAAAGCTCTAAAGAAACTACTCAAAGGATTTTCTTCACACAAAAAGTTCCCAGGGATGTGGGGTCACGTTGGCTCTAGACAATCGACCGTGGTGTTAGATGAATACGACTCGCTGGAATCATCGGTACGTACAACATTGTCATTGAAAAATACGAATCGGAATCGTTCAGTGAACGAACAAATTGACCAGCTCAATAAAATTATGGGTTCGCTTGAGACGGAAATTCAATCAACGGATATTCTAAGACCGTACATGCTTGACCATCACTACGCTTCTCTTGCTCGAGCTACTGAATTCACCAATGGTAATCAAACATTAAAATTATGGCTGAACACCCCTCTACATTCTCCGATGATAACTTTTAAGAAACCAATTGAGCAGCGACTAAAGGAGCTTGTGCTGCGATGGAACCGTCCTTCGAATGAAGTTTATTGCCGTCCAAGTATGAATATTGTTGAAAGGGCATCACTCTATTGCTATCTTGTAAATCTCTATCGACAAAACCTTAAAAATGAGATTAAAAAAATGTCTAATTACGATGAGACGCTTCCAGTTAAGGTTGAGGATTTAAATTTGAAACTTCAGCAGTCGTACGTTGATTTCATACCAGACCATTTAATCGAAATGATTACCGGTAAATCACACACAATCGATATGAATGCCTGGCTGACTGAATCTAGACGGGACCCGATGAAGCAATTAAATGACATTGAAACTCTGCTTCGTGAGATGGAACTCGAAGATGTCAAAACAGGAAGTTGTCCGGCTTCGGTTCCAGCATTACAAGGACATGTCGCTGATGTAGTCGAAAGCGGTGAAAATGATCCTTTTGCGGATGTTGAGTTTTTTCGCTTCCTAAGTGGTGTTCAAAACGCATTCGAAAAATACCAAATTATCACAGTTGCAAAACACGCCGAGAAGCTTAAAATTTTCGAAGATATCTCAAGGAAAGGGAGTTGTGGGCCAGCACGTCATGGCAGTCTATCTCAGTGTCTGAGTCACGCTGAAACCATCAAACTGCTAGCATTGACTGAGCCACTGGAAGACGAAGAAGAAGAAAACATAGCCGATTTATGGAAGCTGAGAGAAGGAAAGAGATTTGCGTTGTACAAATGCTGGATTGAGAAATACAAGACATCACTGACAGAGGAGATGAAGGACCTCACAGAACAATACAACTCATTGCGTGAAGAAGATCGTAGAGACAAAGGAGAGGTAATTTTGAGGGAATTAAAAAGTGCTAAGGTAATCGGAACGACCGTAGCTACCGCCGCTGAAAACATGGACCTCCTCAAGGAAGTTGGTTGCCGTGTAGTTATTGTGGCAGAGGCTGCAAAAATTCTTGAGTCCCACGTTGTAACTCTTCTGAGCGAAGCCTGCGAGCATTTAATTATGATTGGTGACCACCAACAACTCCGTGCCGAAACAGTTGTCCCCCAGATAGCCAAAGAGTTTGGACTGGAAATGTCATTATTTGAAAGACTCATCAAGAATAATATCCAGCACGTACAGCTCAGGGTCCAATACAACATGAGGCCAGACATTGCTAAGCTAATGAGGCTTATCTACCCAGATCTTAAGGACGATGTTTCAGTTTGTAACTTGGATCACGTCCGTGGGATCTGCAAAGATGTCTTCTTCATTGACCACAGGCTGAAGTCAACAAAGAGTGGCAGTGAATCAAGTCACTATCACAATACGCATGAAGCTAAATACTTGGCTGCCTTGTGCAAGTATCTACTTAACCAGGGATACATGCAATCTTATATAACAATACTAGCACCACACGATTGCCAGGTCCGTGCTATCAAAACTCAGTTGGCCGGATGTCTGAAAGTGGATCAGCAAGTTAATGTCTCGTCGGTAGACGAGTTTCAAGGACAAGACAGTCACATTGTCCTCCTGTCGCTGACAGCAGGTAACGAAGACGAGGCTCATGACGTCATTCTAGAAGAGGGCTGGATAAGTGTAGCATTGTCACGGGCTAAGGTCGGCTTGTACGTCATTGGCAACTTTGATGTGTTGTCTTGTCAAAGTCCACTGTGGTCAAAGATAGTAGCCACGGCTGAAGAAGACGAGATCATCGGCTGGTGGCTGCCTGTCTACTGCCAGAATCACCCGAGCACTAAAAAACGCCTTGTCAACGTCACAGACTTCGGAAGGTGTCCAGAGGGTGGGTGTGGGCGACCATGTGAACATCTGCTACCGTGTGGTCATAGATGTGTGTTGAGCTGTCATGGTTATGACATTACTCACGTCAAGTACAAATGTTCGGAGAGATGCTCTAAGTCATGCAAGGCCGGCCATCCATGTGAAAAACATTGCTTTATGCCGTGCAGGGATTGCCTTGTTCCTGTCCTGAAAGTGTTTCCAGTCTGTGGACATCTCAATGAAATACCATGCTATCAAGATCCTGAGGTCTGTAAGCAGGAATGTTCTCATAAACTTCCATGTGAACATAAATGTTCCGCGATATGCTGCAAAACTCGATCCGGGAATGTTCACAAGGAATGCCCAGTTCTTGTGACATACATATTTTCACCCTGTGGTCATTATGGTCAAGTGCCTTGCCACAAATGGAACACCCAGGTCCCGTGTGATAAACCATGCGAGGTTGTCCTACGCTGCGGGCACAGGTGTAAAGGATCTTGCTCCAGATGCCTACTTGGAGCTGTACACGAAGTGTGCCAGGAGAAATGCCCAAAACGTCTTCCCTGTGGTCATAAGTGTACAGGCTACTGCGGGACGCCGTGTCTGCCTTGTCCAGAGATCTGCCCTTTCCGTTGTAGTCATAAGTCATGTCAGTCAGAGACGCATCGACACAAATGTGGTCAACCGTGCCCACCGTGCATGGAGCAATGTGTTACACAATGCAAGCACGTCTCAGGGACAAAGCTTTGCTCGCAGCAATGGAAAATCCGTCTCTGTAACAAGATGTGCAACCGAAAATTTGAAATTGTTGAGAAAGATCCGGAAGCTTCTGGCAAGAATATTTGTAACCATAACTGTGCCGGGATCTGTGGGGAGCTGTGCGTGTGTTTGCACTGTGATCGGGTCAATGACCTAAAGGAAGTCGGAAGTAATCTGAAGCAGACGTTAGACGAAGGACTCGTTTCAAAGATTTTGGACAACCTCGAGGAAAAACTTATTTTTAAAATTCCTTCATGCGCCCACATCTTCTATGTGGAACAGTTAGATGCATTTATCGCCGACAATGCCCCAGTGGGCACAAGTTTCATATTGTGTCCAGTTTGTCCAAAGCCCATCATGAAATGTAAACGCTACGACAACGTCTTAAATGCAAGACACAAAAGAAGAGATGACCAGAAAGCCTTGCTCTTAAGTCGGACAAGCGTGTCGAAGGATGAGACACTCAAGCTAAAGCACTCCTTTGAAATTTTGAAAATGATGGCATCACCCTTTCATAAAAGTGTTTTGTTTGATAAATCGCATAGTTATAATACAATTGAACTGCAAGCAATATCTTTTAAAATGAAAATCGTGTTTGTGCTGGTTAAGATTTTAAAGATTGGCCCCAGGCTGCGCGATGAAGTGGAGATGGACTTGCTAGCCATGACATACTCTGCTTTTAGATCCCCCAACCGCCTATCTTCCCAGCGTAAGCAGGAGAGTCTCTTCGAAGTTTTGAGATGCCTGAAGCTAAAAGTTCTCAATTTCTTGGAGGATCTCAACTGTCAGCATGTCATCCAGGCACCGAGGAGTCTCACCTGGCAGGTGGAGTCCATGATCAGTGTACTCCGCGGCTCTCAAAGAAATCCTGAAAACCTTTCAAAAGCCGATTCAGTGATCATGTCCATTATTAAAATGATTGGCGAATCATCACCTGCCGCCCAGGCCGCCTGCTGCCCAGTTATCAAGAAATACAAGGAACTCATTGGCGTACTGCTGTCCAGTGATTCAATGGTGAGTTATTTACGCATATCCATTTAGAAAGACTCCTTTTAATGTATGTTATTGATTAATATGTGCATAGTAGAATTTCACGCAAAAGGCACTCTCCACTCTCTCTTTTTTTTTCTCGCTTCAAATTAATTTTGGTTATTTAAATAAACCAAAAAAAACATGGTGATTACTTTTCCTTTGTTTTCGTAACGCTTTATTTTTAGCTTTTTGTTATTTACTACGTCAGACTCGCTGCTATTTTCCACCAAAGACATTCCCACCTCCCCCACCCCTTTTTCTCAACGGGTCACTTTAAATTTACCACTTAAATTATTATTCCCTTGGGCGCGATGTTACATACATTTCAGTTTCGCGCAATCTTACAGACCCAATCACCGTTGAAATATTTTGTGAACATATAGTCCCAATTGTATTTTCCCTCTGCCTGTGCTCATACAATGCTCCTGTTTACCGTTAAAGATGCTGTGTGACCTGGTTCATCCTGATGAGGCTCAAACGGTCCCAGACTTAACACCAGTGGCGGACCAACAATCAGATCTCAAACAGGATCTGACGGCTGATCTACAAACTAGTGGTCCTTATTACTCCCCATCTACAGATCATTCACCAAGACAAACGGCCGATGAAGGTCAAAGGTAAATACTCCCCCTCCTTTTTTTCACTCTTCTCTCTCCCCCCCCCCCCCAACTAATTGATGTCACTAAACTAAAAGATCCATACATATAGTTATTTTGGATATGAAAGAGTGTAGGTTGTAATGGTGAGATCAGTAACGAGCTAAATAAAATCCCCGATAACTGCGCTAAATTAGATTCTTTTTTTTTTTTTAAACTCGACTACGTTTGCTGCGTAATATTTTCTTTCGTTTTACGGAAATGGTCTGAATTTAAAAAATGGTGTAATAAATCTGTGATTAACAGGACGTGGGACAATAAAATAGTAATACATTTCAGGGGCGTGAAAAAATAGTGCAGTACAATACCCGGAAAAAAAGAGGGCCTAGGGGGTGGGGGAGATGGGTGAATAGCACGATTTGGGATTCTTATAAAGTGCGCTACTGGAATTCATTATTTTGTCAAATAAAATTATTTAAGATAGAAAGTTTGCTCATTGCGGCCGCCGTAGTTCCGTTGGCTAAAACTAGTGTAATATCAACGTTTTCTGATATATATATATATATATATATATATATATATATATATATATATATATATATATATATATATATATATATATATATATATATAATATATATATATATATATATATATATATATATATATATATAGATCGTTCCATCGTTTCGTCAAGTCACACATACCGGTTTATTCTGCAGGTTGAAAAAAAAACATGCTCTGTGGATTTTGATGTTCTGAACGCTTTAAGCTTTATCGCAGTTCTGTCTGTTTCTTCACCAATGAATTTAATCTTTGTTCTTTATCAAAGCTCTACAAGACCATACTGAAACAAAATTAGCATTGCCTTGGTTTTTTTGTTTTTTTAGCGGACTGGGGATGTCCTTATAAATGTCAATGCTTTTTTTTTTATTTTTCAAACTGTCCAATGGTTATTTTAAAGTCCTTTTTAAATGAAATTTGATAACAAAAGTCAGGAATTATTTTAATATATACAAAGGTTACATACAAATAAAAGTGAATTAAATTTCATTTTTTTTTTTAAAGCTTCTATGGAAAAGATACGAAGCTGAGGTCAACAGTTGATCTTGATCATCATGAGATAACCCAGGAAGGTTGCCGATACCAGGACATGTTCGATGTCAATATGTTTAAAGTTTGCCCTGAAATGGAGCTACGACCAGCTGAAACTGTAGCTGACAAGAAGGAACCACTTTATGAAGAAGAGCAGTTTCCGATTTTACTCGGTAGACCAGTGGAAGCTAAAGGTCAGTCACCGACTAAACCAGGGGTCAGCGTCTCTGGACCTGATTTTTTTAAAACGAAGAGGGATAATCGCCTGCATCCCTTTTTCGGTCAGCAAAACTCTCAAATTAACCAGATGTCCTCCAATGTGGACAGCGCTGGCATCCAGTCCGGGCCATCGTTTTCTGAAATGTGCAGCAGGCCAGCAACAGGCAGACCCGTGAAACAGACACGCGGGAAAATGCCTCGAACTGATGGTGACACTGGAATTGACAAGGAGCAGACGTCAAAGGTTCATCTAAAGGGTGATGAGATGTACCAGGATGAATGCCGAGTCCAGGGCTTTTCAACAGTTGACTCGATTTGGAATTGTGTTAAACGACCTGGGCAAACCATGACTGGAAAGAATGAGCCGCCTTGTGAGGAAGAGCAGTTCCCAAGTTTGATCGTTAGATCATCAGAAAGAAATGATAACCTTCTTACTAAACCAGAGGTCACGCTGTCGGACCCTAAATTTTCTACAGCAACGACGACGTGGGGTAATCATGCGCATCCATTTGTTGGTCACCAGAACTCTCAAACTAAACATTATTCCTCCGACGTGGACAGCGCTAGCGTCCAGTCCAAGCCATCGTTGTCGGAAGTGTGCAGCAGTCCTGTTGTTCATAAGCAAAGGACAAGCGGGCGTGTTAAGCCGAAACACGGAAAAATCCCATTTACATATGGTGACAAGAATCGAGTTGCCATGACGGATTCTAAGAAAGGAACCCGTTCCACGACTTTCAATGTATCTTCAGAAGCAGATTTCCCGACACTGGGCGGATCTAAGAAGTAGTTTATTAATGTTTTTTTAAAAGGAAGAAGCAAACAACAAATGTTGAGCAATTTGCTTAAAGCCGATTTTTCAACTAAGACTGACAACTCCAGTGTGTTTCCTTTAGTAACTTAGAGTTACACGGAATGGTTTAGATTATTAATGACTATTTTTTTGTAACAATTGTTTCATTATTTATTTTTTTTTTTTTATCGCTGTTAGATTTTTTTTAATAGACTTGTCTTCGGTTGTTGATTTTGTAATGCACTCAGAACTTTCAGCTGGTTCAATAATTGAGATAATACAAGAATATAATTATATGCATTACCCTGACAAGTTCACGGATTATATTTTACGGAATTAAAAATTATAAAATTATTTATTGTTCTGTGGCTTTCTGATTGGAAATTTTTTGTTTCAACTTATGTGTCAAGTGAAAACTATAGATCTAACTTTTATTTTCTTCAATTTCATCACTTTTTACTTGTATCATTTTTTTAGATTTGGCTACAAAAATGGGGGGGGGGAATACAGTAAGCCAGGGGCCAGGGGTCTCCTCCCTACAATCCAGCCTACTGGTCAAAACACTTGAAAATCTCCGTCAATTTTTTTTTTTTAAAACTTAGACGTCTCTATTCCTTCCCACTTCCTTCCCACTTCCTTCCCACTTCCTTCCCACTTCCACACGGGCACCTACCAATGCAGGCCTGCTCTGAACATCTCAATAATTTCTGTTAATGTCTTAAATTGGTTGCCGAAGTCAAACCATTGATATGAATGCCTAACATTTTAAAATATTTCATGACATCATTACACTTTCCTTTGCAGTATTTTGTCATCTTGTCCAACGCTTGAAGCATGATTCATTAAATTTTCCTTTCTTTTTTCTCTGCTTAATTATAAAACTACATTTAAAAAAAAAAAAAATTTTAAACATTGAATTATTTGTTGTATTCTTTTTCAAACTCATATTTTATATATATAATATTGAATTCTATTTCATCAAAATATTATTAGAATCTATTTGTAATTTCATTCATTTTCAAAGTTTCATCTATATTTTATGTCATATATAATTCATTTGTTACAATTTATGAATACGGTGGTAAATGAGATTCGACCGCAGACATAGTCTTCGTTGTGCAGGCATAGTCTTCTCTGTGCAGACAGAGTCTTCGTTGTGCAGACATAGTCTTCTCTGTGCAGACATAGTCTTCGTTGTGCAGGCATAGTCTTCTCTGTGCAGACATAGTCTTCGTTGTGCAGACATAGTCTTCTCTGTGCAGACATAGTCTTCGTTGTGCAGGCATAGTCTTCTCTGTGCAGACATAGTCTTCTCTGTGCAGACATAGTCTTCGCTGTGCAGACATAGTCTTCTCTGTGCAGACATAGTCTGCGTCGTCTCCCTGATGAAACTTTCCAAATATATTGTGTACAATGTATGCAATAAAGAAGGCGAAAAGAATGCTGCAGCTGTTTGAAAATGGGGACGAAATTATTTTCAACCTACTTTTTAAAAACTTTATTTGGATCGTAGTTGGGGGGATAACTATAAAAATAAAGCCTTGGACTAAGACTACATTTGCTTCAGATTATATCCCTTTGATTGCCCATAAATTCATTACTCTTTTACAATATAATTTAGTCCAAATAAGATTGTCCCTGTTTTAAAGTCATTAATGATTGCAAGCCTCTGTCGAGAAAGAGTAACAAAGTATTTTTTTTAAAATTAGGGGTGCATAATCATCAATCCAATAACATTACATTAATTACGCCCCCCCTCCAAAAAAAATAAATAAATAATAATAATAATAATAAAATATTTCTTATAGAATTGCAAGCTATCGCACGTCTCTCTTTTAAGATCAATCATAATAGAGTCGGGTGCTCAAGACATTTAAAAAGGTCATTGACTTTACTACGCATTTCCACTACATGTAAGAGCCATCAAATTCTGAGGAATATCTGTGTTGGCTTTTCTTGTATGGTATTTCAATGCGTACTTATGTTGTTTTTTTTTCTAATCGAAATTAAATAAGTTTGTAATCGGCATTGCATATTTTTTTTTATAATGTTAAAATATTGGATTGGACATTAAATTAAGATTTGATTGATTTTTTTTTGTTCATGCATAAAAATAGCATTGAAATAATTTTATGTACGTTTGGTCAGATACAAAATTTAAAATAAAAATTAAAATTAATATATCAGTAAAAGAAATGTCTTATAATTTTTTTTTTAAATGTTAATTAATATGTTTGTAAAAGGAATGTCTTTTAATTAAAAAAATGAAAAGGGAATTAATATATTAGTAAAAGTAATGTCTTACAATTAAAAAATAAATAAATAATATATCAATAATACAATAAAAGGAAAGTCTTATAATTTTAAAAAAAAATGAAATTATTATATCAGTTAAAGGAATGTCCTCTTCTTTAAAAAAAAATAATAAATTGTTATGTCTTAATAATCAAGCATTCATCTTTATTACATTTTATTTCAAATTTATTTACTTTTAAATAGAGTCCTCTTTGTTATAATGGATTATTCTTTACACCAACAATAACAAGAGTAGCACTGACAGCATATCTCACAAAAATTCCGAATAAGTCATAATCCCATGACTGTGATCCCATCTTCATACATCCATTTGCGTTCATTCATTCCGTGGACACTATTTCCAAGTTGTGCTACTACTGTCACCAGCCGTCCTTTATTTACGCTAGTTTCGGGGGAAAAGGGGGGGGGGAATGACACTGACTGAACTGCGACCCCGTTTGACCCCTGACCTTTGCACCTGTGCATGAATTGTTTACTGGGACACTTTTTCTGTACCTTTGTGCCAACGCATTGCGACGTTAAATTTAAGGAAATATCAAATTTTCTATGCATTACTTTTTTTTTTTTTTTTTTTTTTTTTTTTTTTTTTTTTTTTTTTTTTTTTTTGTGGCCCCTTTCCCATTCATAGGGCACCAAGGTTACAAATTCTCCGAATTGCGAGAGGGGGTCATAATCCTGATCGCGAGTCTCCAGATAACAAATGGATTGTGTCCTATGGTCTGCTATCATTGAGTAGCGTCCCTTGTTTCACACCGCACGCCTCTTGGAGATGTCTTTGCTTACACTAAAACTCATTATTTGGGCCTGTCATGGGGCCCGGGGTAGCAGCTCCTCTCCCAGGGGCGAGTACCAAAGGGAGTGGGGTGTTGGGGGGGGGGAGAACCGAATTAGAGAGATGATTGGAGGCTGTTGGTGTGTGGGGGGGGGGGTTGGGAGTGATTAAATGCACTCCTGGACAGCTTGGTTAATATCTCTCTCTCTCTCTCTCTCTCTCTCTCTCTCTCTCTCTCTCTCTTTCTATCTCTTTCACTATAGTCTTTTTCTTTGAGATTTTATTTTTTTTTGTATTTTGGTCGACTGTAGCTGTTGCTATTCGAAAAAACCGAATCTCTAAAATAAAAAAAAATAAATTGGTGTCGTTGGAACATCATAAGGATTTGAAATTGACAATTATAGTAGTAAAATCAATACAACTGTGTGAGAACTACACGGAATAATAATAGTAAAATCGCTGAAGCATTGTGAGAACTAAATGGACTAATAGTAGTAAATAACTGAAACATCATGAGAACTAGAAAGACTAGTTATAAAAAATCAATTTAACTTCATGAAAACTAGATTGGACCAAATAATAGTAATATCATGAGACTTACACGCTGCTCATTAATATTAGCATCATAAGAACTTCACGACGACTTATATTTTATAGTTCGTCAGTCGAAATCAACTATGACCGCCTTAACCATCGCATATATGCTAACTGTGAACTTGGCCGTGGGTGCGCAGATGGCCGATGAGGCCGATTCTGGCACGAAGTGTTCTCGCGCAGTAAGTGCAGGGGATTGGTGGGACATCCCCAGGTGCAGAGTTAACCTTGGCTTTTCTGGCATGTCTTTTTGTGCTCTGCGGCCGCTGCTCTTTTGGCGTCATGTTGTATGGAGCCTTTGTGTACAGAGGAGCGCCACGATCATCGGTCCTTTGCCGCCTCTTCCCCTGTGTCCGAGTCTATATCGAACGCTTTCGGTGAGGCTTTAAAGGTGTATTAAAAGCTTTTCTTCTGACCACCTTGAAACCGTCTTCCCTGTCCCTGCTCGAGCTCACCTTAGAGAGTATTCTTTTTTTCTTTTTTTTTTTGGCAAGCGGTCGTCTGAAATATGCACAACATGTCCCGAAAAAGCGAAGCTGGGACTGCAACAAAGGGTTTTAAGATGCTCTAGATGGTGTAACTAAGTCATTGTAAAAAAATCTACAATCGTAAAATTAATTAACGTAAGTATAGTCTTCCCGTTTCATTCTCGCATTTTAAAACAATGTTGAAATGAATTTTTAAAATTGTTTATTTTTTGAAAATTCATTTCTACATATTTTACCAAGGGTAATTTATGCGTGATGTCATTAGCCGCCATCAAGGTAATTTTTACCCCCTCGAGTTTACCCTGAGTCACAACGTGACAACTAAATCCCGGCCCGCAGAGTGGCGCTGGTTGTTCTTATGTCTCTTTGTCTGTCACTGTCGTAAGTCAGATTGCATTTGACATTTGGTGAGAAGTTGAATCACTCTGCTGGCTTCGCTCTGTCATGGGACAGGGGGGGGGGGGCGATTTTTTTTTATAGGGGATCACTTTGTCGGGGGGTAGGGGGGGGGAATTTTTATAGGGGTGTCAGGGGATAGGGGGGGGCATTTTTATAGGGGATCCCCGGCTTGACACTGTCATAACCTTTAAACGCTAACAAATTGGTCACGTGATCTCGGGGGTGTGTTCGGGTTTAACCGCTAAGCCGGCTTTAAAGCAGGACCTTGGGACTCCCACGTCACAGCTTAGCGTTAACGCCACCACTGAGCCGCAGCCAGATCCTTACTCACCCACATGTACGGCCACGGAGATCACGTGATGGCGAAGAGGAGTCGGGCGGAGATCACGGCGACAACGGGTGACGGATAGTAAGTGACGGTGGCTGCATGAGAGAGCTCACGGCGGTAGTAGCGGACAGATCACGATGACCAGCATCTCACAGATCTCACTGGACAGTAGAAAACGGACCACACGGTGAACAGTGTCTCACAGGTGTCACTGGACAGTGGTGAACAACGATCACTGTGGCCAGTGTCTCACAGGTATCACTGGATGGTGATGGACAGAGATCACTGTGACCAGTGTCTCACGGGTAACACTGGACAGTGGTGGACAGAGATCACTGTGACCAGTGTTTCACAGGTATC